TGTACTGTAACCCGTCCCTACCTCAGTCACTTCTGTGTGTACTGTAACCTGCCCCTACCTCAGTCACTCCTGTCTATACTGTAACCCGTCCCTACCTCAGTCACTCCTGTCTGTACTGTAACCCGTCCCTACCTCAGTCACTCCTGTCTGTACTGTAACCCGTCCCTACATCAGTCACTCCTGCCTATACTGACACCCGTCCCTCCCTTTTGTTTTATAGTTTAATCAAATTGTGTTTGCCGCCTTCATCTAAATTATAATATTTTATTATAATGATGTTATTATTAGTATTGCATCAATCCCGTTTTTCTACTATTCAAACCTAATGCGTCACAGATATTTTTAATCGTTATCAAGTTTCAAGTTTTATTTTTACACTCACGCCACACGTATACCTGCGTAACAAGAGGTCACATATTACATAGTATACATTGATGGACATAGTACACACATTATATGACACATGATACAATTTATACAATAACAACCCATTTCAATAATTATTTTAGCTAACTTATTTTAGATATTAAGTAGCTTCATTACTCTTTGTATACAACCTACTTTTGTTAAAAGTACCGTGTTACAAATTGAGAACATTCCTTTCATTTTGATATAAGTTGGGTTGACATAATAACAATTTGGTATATAAAGTTGTCTAAGAGCTACAACAGATACATTAGTACATTGGTATAAGTAGTGGTATTCGTCCCCAACACAGTTATTACATAGAGGACATAACCTTTCCTCGCGTGGGACTCTATTCCGTCTTCCTGTTTCTATAGGAAATTTTATATTTGATGTTCTAAATTTGCATATTACTTTTCGTTCATTACGATTTAGCTTTAAATGAATAAGGAGTAAACTTGCCCTCGCGAGGAGGTTTCAACATCATGAAACCAACTTTGAATGAATTGATCGCATAATCTCTGCTTAATGATAGTTTTCAAGCATTGTCTACTAATTGTACATGATATTTGGAAAGTCCATAAATTATTAAATCCAGTATTGTTTAAGATATCTCGTATAAAGAATTCTCGTGCAAATTGTACATTAGCTTATACATTACACTAGATAATTTCAAGGTTGAAGATTATATACGATTCGCTTACATGAAACACGGGTAGTCTGTCTGCAGGTCACCACCTCCTTATACATGTAGTACATGTATTGATGTCATTGTCATGCGAGTCAATCTACCCACGCGAAGAAATACCAGACCGGATGATCTATTACCAAAATAATGGTATGACTTTCACTCTTCGCCTGAATCAAGGGGTTTTCTTTCTCCAAACATTCAGGGTGTTCGAAAAAAACTAATCACTTGATACAAGTGCCATGCCATTTGGCCACGTGTTATCCCTATTGCGTCAACCGTACGTCATAACATTTTTAATTGTCATTCAGACTTTCTACTAATTTCCAAGGACGTCTGTCCCGAACCTGGAGATATTAACTCGTGATAGCGATCGTTTTTATTATTAGTTATAACGTAGTTGGTTGCCAGAGATTTCAAGTTATAAAACCCCTATCTGATACTTGGTATAATATGGTAAATACTTCACTATTTCCGAAGAATTTGTTATTTATAATAGAGTTATATCGGCGCAATTTATACTTTTACTTTTACGGGGGAGCTTAAAAGCTAGGCGACTTAATTTGGGATCTTATCTTTTCTCTTCTTTCTAAACAACGTTCTTCTTCCTAGTGTGTCCCTTGGCAATGCCTCACTTCTGGCCTTTCCGTCCCCTGGCCGAGATATACCAGAGTCTGTAAAAATGGTAGTTTCTACTCCTGCTTAACGCTCAGTATAATGTGACCGGGTGGGGTGTCCTGCTGGGTGTCCTCGGCAGTATGTTTCAGTGAGGTACACTATAAAGTCCGAATCAGTTCAACGCTATCACAAGGAGACAAACACGAACATATCGCAGCCTCCCAAAACACACACGCATACACTATGGCCGTCCTTAAATGACCATAGCTGTTGATAGGACATTAAACAATACTAAACCAAACCAACAGTAGGTGTCAAGTGATTTATGGGCCCTGGTTAACTGGTCATAGGTAATTAGGGAGAGTACGGTACAGAAAGGTATACATTTTAGTGACAGGGTTAATATGGGAAGGTACTGTTTATAGGTTGTTTGGATGATGTGGAAGAGAGAAGTAGGTTTACTGAGTTGCTAATAGGATTGATGAATCTCGCACCGGAAAATGTAAGGATACACCTGTCCGAAATCTTTCACTTACATCTCAATTCCTCAATAACCCCTCCTCCCTTAAAAACCTCAAACTTTTATATTCGTCCTTCTGACAGTAACGATCGTACTTCTTTTCATCATCCTAGCAACATTTAACATTTCCCTTACCCTTTATAACTATTACTTTGTTTAGTTCGGTGACAACAGCATCCAGACGACGTTTTGGTATACTAGTAGAGACATCATACGTCTCTCTTTTGGTCGTTTAAGTCTGAAACTAACGAAGATTTTGTCAGGACAGCTATTTCCACCCTTGTCTTGTCCATCAACTTTACTTTCAGATAGATCGATATTTTGTTGGCATGAAACAAAAGGAAACTGGTTGATTATATTGATCAAATACACCCTCCCAAACTAGAGCATCAGCCGCTTACCTAGATATTTACTCTAAACGTAACTCATAGATGCGGATTACTGCTACATGTATTAAGTAGTACAGCGTGATGAGCGTAACGATGTGTAAAGTATTACAGTGTGATGAGCGTAACAATGTATAAGGTAGTACAGTGCGAGGAGCGTAACGATGTATTAAGTAGTACAGTGCGGTGAGCGTAACGATGTATTAAGTAGTACGGTGTGGTGAGCGTAACGATGCATTAAGCAGTATAGTCTGATGAGCGTAACGATGTATTAAGTAGCACAGAATGATGAGCGTAACGATGTATTAAGTAGCACAGAATGATGAGCGTAACGATGTATTAAGTAGTACAGTGTGGTGAGAGTAACGATGCATTAAGTAGTATAGTCTGATGAGCGTAACGTTGTATTAAGTAGTACAGTGTGATGAGCGTAATGATGTGTAAAGTATTACAGTGTGATGAGCGTATCAATGTATAAGGTAGTACAGTGCGATGAGCGTAACGATGTATTAAGTAGTACAGTGAGATGAGCGTAACGATGTATTAAGTAGCACAGAATGATGAGCGTAACGATGTATTAAGTAGTACGGTGTGATGAGCGTAACGATGTATTAAGTAGCACAGAATGATGAGCGTAACGATGTATTAAGTAGTACAGTGGGATGAGCGTAACGATGTATTAAGTAGTACAGTGGGATGAGCGTAACGATGTATTAAGTAGTACGGTGTGGTGAGCGTAACGATGCATTAAGTAGAACAGTGTAATGAGCGTAACGATGTATTAAGTAGTACAGTGTGGTGAGCGTAACGAATAGATGCGGATTACTGCTACATGTATTAAGTAGTACAGCGTGATGAGCGTAACGATGTGTAAAGTATTACAGCGTGATGAGCGTAACAATGTATAAGGTAGTACAGTGCGAGGAGCGTAACGATGTATTAAGTAGTACAGTGTGATGAGCGTAACGTTTCCGATTTTCCGATCGTGAATTTTCCCTTTCTTGAAAGTAACATCCTTATTTCCTAACCTATGTTGTTCGTATGTACATGCCACATTTATTTCGATGTTTACAGCCTCGCTCTGAAAAAAAACCAATTCACGTGATAAATGCCGATTGCTGAATGACATACCTACATCACAGATATTCTGAAAATGAAGACTATGGACAGGTATTGTCGCCATCTGGAAGTTAAGGCATTTTTTTTTTATTTTTTCACTTTTTCATTTTGTGATGTAAATAGCAACGTTTTTGATACTGCTTATTAATATGCCTTGCTGTTTCGTTGTCACTACTACTCCGTCCTCGTTTTGAGGACATGACATCATTTGTATGTGACCTTCATTTACATGGCGGGTGTCGTTAACAAAGGAGGAGACGCCTACCCTTTTGGAACACCTGGTTTTATTCTCTTTTTTGATTTTTCAAATGGTATTTCAGTAAAGGATCCCTCTGTTCATATATCGCCCTAATTAAATCGAGTTTGCGTCCGATATACAACCTTGTTTACTCTCCAGTTGATGTTTTGTTTTGAGTTGTTTTCTACACGAAATTTATCTTTATTCAATTAATTATTTATTTACTTATTTTTCATTTAGATTAAATCGTAGTATTGTTATAAATACAGATATGTATTTCATGTATTTTAGTGCAAAGGAACATCTTGTATTTTTTAATAAGTATGTTTTTGCTAAACCTTTGTGTATTGATAATTAGCACAGCTTACGGTACATGTAGGAATATTCTGCAGTTATTTATTTAGAACTAATCGTTATCGTCGCTCTGCACTGGATTAAGTAGTGTTGTTTTGTGTAAGAGAATGCCTTTGTTATCATTATCGACGGCCAGGATTAATGGAACAAAGGATTAGACGGATATTGGGAATACTCTCACAGTCATTTCATCGAGAATGTGAAGAAATTATCGGAATATCGCTAATAATCCTTAGTGTTGATAAATGTCTCGTTTATACGTTTATATTCTCGCCTTGTATATCACTAGCACAATTTCGGTATTTTTTTTTAACTTCTCAGATTTGAACATCAGCTGGCATGCAATAACGTAATCTGGGGTACTTTTTTTATACTGATAAGGTTCAAAAGTCGTGACAATAAAATTTCCGGTTTTTTTTTTTTTTACTTTTCAAAACTTTTGTCTGAAGCAGTGAAATATTTCTTTTCGTCACACAGGAAATACGATTTCACATGGAAGTTTAGATAAGATATCAAATTACATCTTTTAAAATTTATATTGAACAAAATCAGTCACAAACTAAATTAACGCAGGGCTAAAATTTCGAGCTCTGACCTCTTTAATGGAAATCCCGAAAATGCATTATTGTAACTGTATGTACCTAAATTCCGACAAACAACCTAGTTTCTGTTCCAAAATGACATACTTCGTGATCCAAGGGCATGTCAATCGCATTAAAATTTTCCTTCAGCATTTGGGTCTGTAATGAGCACTCAAGTTGATCTATCTCAACATAAGTCTATCTCAACATAAGAGCTGTTCATCAATTACGCGATTCATCGTCATCAACATCCGTCCTAACTATCAAACGCTACCATCAAAACGAATGTCTCATTTTGCTGGTATCGAAATCATATACTTTCCATGTATTATTAAGTATGCTAATGTGATATTTGGTGCCATAATCACTATAAATCCGAAGTCAGAAAAAACATTAGAACAGAGGGAGCCAAAATAAGGTAAACATATTTACGCCATCATATGATTATTTCGTCAACTCATAACTCGTTAGCGGTAATACATGTAAAGGCCAATACAAGGACAGTCCGAATCTAGTGTTCCGTAATATTTATTAAAATATACTGTGATAATAACATATACAATAAGATAATATTTGCAAAAGGAGGAAAGGTGTCAATGAAACGGGCAAAATTCTGGTACTATGCAGTATCTAATTTAACAAAAACGCATATGAATGCTAGATAAAAATATAATTCATAATCATCATCATTCATGATCATCATCATCATCTATGAGTAATGGCGCAACATCATCATCATCATCATCATCATCAGCATCATTAAATATAAAATATTATGAAATCAGCTGCCTTCTGATAAGGGGACATTGCAGAAACCAAAAGTGAACTGTTGTCCCTACCGTCACAATTAGAACCTCTGGGATTTTATATTTTTTCTCGTTACATACTCTTACCTTTCAAAGAATTATCCCTGGTCATCCGTCTATATATAACCTTAGTTTATGAAATATGTAGAAAAAAAACTGTATTCTTTATGCAACGGTTATTTTATAAGTTTTATAAATAAGTGTTACTGCCCTGGATTGGGGAGCGCAGGAAGACTCCACTCTGAATAAGGAAGGAAACCGGAGTACAAGGAGAAAACCCACTTGAAAAAATGTGTACTGCAATCACCCGTATGTGGTTTACATTCATATTTGACCCATTTTTTGACCATATGGTGTCAATCCTTTAAACAAACATAAACTCATTTCTCGATATATTCAAGAGTAAGATGTGTGACGTATATCTCCTTGTTCCTCGATGTGTATCAGGGCTTATCTAATGTTGTTCTGTACTTTTAGAGAAGTAGTCAAGGGTTTGAAAATATGTAAAACACACTCGTCATACGATAAAAGATATACAGAAATGTATTCCCTACCTACCAACC